AAGTTTCATCTGTCCCAGTGACCAACCTCCTGGGAAAGACAATATAGGTTCTGAGAAGACATGAATTTAAAAAGGGAACAAGTCATATTCCTACTCTGCTATGTATATGGTTATCTAGAGGACCTGTCTACATTGAGCTAGTGTCTCTAAGCCTCTGAAGTACAGGAGGGCTTGGAGGAAAGAGAAGGTTGTGCTTGCTTATTCCATCTAAGGTAGGGAGAAAAAAATATTTTACCTTTATTTCCTCAATGTTAAAATATAGATACAAATCAAAAATAGCACAATTTATCCAGGTGTAATTTGCATTTAATTTCTAATTCAAAAGAGACAATTCAGTTTTATTAGTTTATTTCCTTTGGTTACTGTCAAGGGGAACACCATATTAGGTAAATTATTTCTTTTACTTGACATTCAGGTAATTACCTCATTCTTCCTACCTATTACTAGAAACTACAAAGTGAAAGAAACCTTTGCAATGAATGATGAATTTTAATATCTGATTACTTGAGAGCATTGGCAAGAATCAGTTTTCATTTGTTAGAAAATATTAATGAACTTGTGAATACAATAATAATAATAGTATTTATTATGTTCCTGGCATGTTGTAAGCAACTATGATATATTAACTCAATCCTTTCAAGGTCCCTCTGAAGTCCCTATTTATACCCCTACTGCAAAGACACTGAAAAGTTCAGCAATTTACTGAAAGTTCCTAGGTTAACACTCCATAGTCAAACTGCTATGTAAAATACAGCTACTGATGAGAAATTCTTCTGCCATGTAAAGACTTAAACTTGGCTTACATAAATGCAGCTTTACTGGTCATATCTCCACGAAGAAAAATCTACACTGTGTGGGATGTTGATGGGATGGAGAATGGGAAGTAGGGGAAAATAAAATTCACAGTACTAGCCAAGTCATTGTTCCAAAAGTAGAAATGCCTTTTTGGTGGTTCTGTCACTCAAATGGGGCACATTTTTGCAATCCACAGCTGGGAGCTGGGGAGGCACCTTTTGATAATTCAGACATATTGGTAGCAGCTACCTACCAAATCTTGATTTTTAAGTCGAAATTTCTGATGTCAATTCAACTTATTAAACAAAAAGAAATGAGAGATATAAATACTATTCATGATGATAGAGCCTAATAAGATCTCATTTCAGAAAATATCCCAATTTCTATATACTTACAAAATGAGTGGAAACGTGTAACAATTATTATAAATGAACTACTAGAGAACTTCTCATCAAATGCTACATATTTGGATCAAACTCAAGTTTGCTAATCTAAATCACTCAGAATACAGTTTGGCCAGTAGAGTGTGGGTAGGGGATATAGGTGGGAAAGCTAACCTTAGCTACAAATTGTTTCTACTACTATCAGGAATTTTGAGCTACCAAAAATTTGAATTAGTGTTTCACTGTCCTGGGAGCAGCTTGAGAACTGAAGATGACTTCAAGGTATATGCAAACTGTATATATTTAAATGAACAAAGGAACAAACTATCCTGTGGGGTTTGTGAAACATGGCTTGGATCAGAGTTAACTTTGTCTGAAACTCTCTGTAAACAACTATCACCTCAGGGCTCTCAAAAAGCTCCTTCTCCCTGTGTATACAGTGGCATGGGTGGAGTTAACTTGATGTTAGTTCTGGGATTTGGGGAACTGGCTTCATGAAATTCTGGATTTGTATGAGTGTGTAGCATTGTGGCAAACCAGTCATCAGAAGAAAAATGTCCGAAAATGTATAGGGAACACTTGGAAAACATCTTCAAAATGTAGATATTCCAAGGACAATGTAATGAAAGCTTTTAAAGAGATGAGGTGACCAAATAACAAAATCCCCAAGAGAACATATAAGAATGATTTCACAAATTTGAAAATTATCAATAAATCTTCCAAGTCTTGCTTGATTCCAAGGAGCACCATCCCAATAGTAATCAAATTTATCACATTGGGGATTCTAGACAGATAATCTGATATATAGGATATAACTAGTTGGTTCAAGAACCAAACATTAGAGATGATTTGAAAAAATATAAACCATTGAGAAGGATTTATTCACCGCATGGTAGATGATAATAATGGTTCTTGTTTGGAAGAATTGATGATAAGACATACAGAATTTTAAGATAATTTTCTTTTAATGAATTGGACAGTGGTATGAATAAAAAAGAAATCCTGAGTTGAAAATAGGACTAATTTTTAGACAACTTCTTGTAGTTTTCAAAGATCAGAAGCACTCTAAAGACAATCATAAGAGATTTAAAATATCTAATTTAGAAAGAAAGGAAAATGAGTTGGAAATTAAAAAATTATAACTAAGAAATTAAGAATGAATGGGAAGTTAGAATATATGAAGATGTAAAGATGTAGTGCCTAATGTTTTTATTTTAATAATAGAGAATATACTCTTTTGAATACATAGATGTAAATAATTATACTGCTGGGGTGACTGAAGTGTTTATCTGGAAGGGTGAATCTTATATGCCACCTACCTAAATATGATACACACGCCTGAATGCAGGGAAGATAGGACCCTGGGGAACAAGACAAGATTAAAGAAGGAAGTTAAAGACTAGCTTCAGAGATATAATATGAAGAAATAAAATTTTAAAGTACTGCACTCATCTAAGATAAAAAATAATGAGATGAGAATAAAATGAGGAGTTTCTGACTTGGGGGACTAGGAAATTAATATAGGAGATCAGGAAGATCACTATGATGTCTCCCCATTAAAGTCACTGAGTGAAAGGAAGAATATATATCCTGAAGGAAAAGATCACTGCATAGGCATACTTCAAACAAATCATAAAGTCAATTTTACCCTCTCCCCAAAAGTCATCATCAAATAACTTACTGGATATCACAAGAAATTTTGTACCTTTTCTTCAATAACTTTAAAAAGTATCCTTTAAAACTGAAGATTTTTAAATCAGATTTAATATATAATCAGACAATACAAAATATTATTATTTTCTTTAAAGATATTTTAAATTGACCTAGTCATACATAGCACATAGTCCAAGTTGATGAAAATTCTGAGAAGGAAATAAAAAGGGTAAAGCAATCTTATACAATGCAACTGACCTTAAGCTCAAGGTCATAAAAATTATTCATTTAAAATATTTTTTAATAAAGCTACATACTTTAATGTCAATATAAATCTAGATCACAATGCTAAGCCAAGTAGTCTACATGTCTTCATGTAAGTAGTAGTTTTCTCTGTCTTCACAGTAAGCAAATAAATGGTGCATTATTACAATAAAATCTCATCTTTTGTTTAAATAATACTTTCTATGGTTTCTGTGATCATTAGATGCAAGATACTCCTAACAGAAAATCTTATTAATAAGAATAGCTTTCCAAAAAAGAATAGTTTTCTTAAAGGAACATCCTATACATTTTCAATGTATTATTTCTATGTATTATTTAAAGTAAAAAGAAAATCTGTCACTATGAAAGCAATTTATTTCCTAAACTTTGGAGGCATGTGTAGATAATATATTTGCTCTGATTTAGAAAGTATGGCAAAGAATTAAGAGTATTCATATTTAAATTTTCATAAAACTAATCATAAAAGTAAACTTAAAAAGAGAACACTTGTGAGATACTACATAAAAAAACTGAAAATGAAATAAAATACAAGAAGGTAATTGTTTTATTTTAATGTATTTTCTTCATATTTGGAAGAATATTTGCACTCACTGTTCTAACTTAAGCAAAAGTGTTGTAGAAAATTTAATATCATCACTAGGTTATAGTTACTTTATCACTACCACACATATAAGCATGGAAGTCAATCAAGATTTATACAACATGGATGAATCCCTAAATCAAATTTAACTTTGACACTACTTGTTATAACTTCTTTTATATAAATAAGATGCAACTTATTTGACTAAAAGTAATCAAGAACACCAGTATCTGAATCATTCTTAATCATAAGCCATAATTAGTGAATTAGTTGTTTCTAAGCATTTGATGTAACACAAAGTAGACAGAAGCAGTTTTAAAGCAAATAATTCTAGTTTGGAGCTAATAAAAATAACAATATTGATCATAAGAAATCATGAAATAACCACCGAACGTATGCATCAAAAAAAGTCTCTTTTAGGACAGTCTGATTAAAATATGCTCATGCCAGCACCATCCCCCAGATAAAACTATGTTCTAAAGATTTCCCAGCACAGAATGTAGTGAACCCCAGCTCTGCACATTGTTTCTACCCAATTTTACTGCAGTCAATTTAATTTTAATCTCTCTCTCTCACACTCACACATACATTTACGATGGGGGGGGGAGGAGGAGAGGGAGAAAGTGAGAGGGAGAGAGACAGAGGGAATAAGAAAGATCAAGCACAAACAAAATAGTAGATTAAGGGAACATCATTTTTAAAATCTAAATGATATTCCAGAAACATTTTAACCAGAAGCATATACACACCGAAAGAATTATTATATACATATGTGTATAAAATTTACATATAGTCGGTTTTTCCTTCTGTATCTTTAAATATCCAATATTATCTGAACACATCTTTTTGATATTAAGATTAGATGGGATTTTTCCACAAATACACAGGTTGCCTTAAGTATATTAGACAGTATAATTTTACTTCCACAAAGACTAAGAAATTGCTCTATACCTGGGACAATGTGGAACTCTATGATGCTTAGCAGACTATATAGCCACATAATTGCCCATTTTCACAGCTTCCAATGAGGCCTGACAACTCACCAGTTTATAGCAGTGGCAGATGATTAGAGAAAGAAATTTCTCACTTTTTAACTTACTTTCAGAAAAGATCTGAAAACTCAGGAGTGAAAAAAGAAGGCTTATGAATAATGGAATACACTGCTACACTCAACCACATTTTATATCTTTGCAATATTCCTATCATATGGAAAAAAGTCCAGAAGTTGCAAATAAAGCAATGCATTTAGGAACTTCTTAAAATAATCACAAAAAGAGTAAATATGAAAAATTATCTCTAATTACCTCTGTTGAGTGATGCTGAACTATTTATATCTCCAGTAATGAAGGAAGACTCTGACTGCTTTCGGACCGTATCATTCCACATTCTACGAATTCGGCTCTGGATGAAGAAAAAAGAAAAGGAAATAAAGTCACCACACAGTGAACCTTCACACAAGTCACTCTTTTTTTTTGTTTCTGTAATACAGGTTTATATGAGGCTTTCATTTCTGGCATCTGGCAAACACAGCTTCCACAAGCTTTCAGTACAGGAGCATGAGAACATCAGGAGCTAAATTAATGATGATCACTGGTTCTTATTAAGTGTATTCTTAAATGCCTATGCCAGAAGTCATTATAACTATTTAAAAGAAACAAATGTAATAGTGGTGGTTTAGTTGGTCAGTTGTGTCTGATGCTTCACAACTTTACAGACTGTGCCCACCAGGCTCCTATGTCCATAGAATTTTCCAGGCAAGAAAACTGGAGTGGGTTGCATTTGCTTCTGCAGGGGATTTTCCTGACCCAACCCTGTGTCTCTTGTGTTGCAGGAGGATTCTTTACCAACTGAGCCATCAAGGAAGCCCCAAATGTAATATGATATGCCAATTTAAAAGATACATATGATACATATGTAGATACATAGAAAATACATATGAAGATACATAGAAGTGTACTCTAGATATAATTTAGTAATTGTAATTTCTAAGGTAAAACAAATTATTTGCACTGCAATTTTATGGGAATGTAATATTTAAATGTGCATTAAATTGAAGCTTTAGTAACAAAAATTTACTTAATTCAGAATCTTGTAAGAAGAAATAGTTTGGGATGAAAAGAACAGAGTATTATTAAGATGCTACTAAACTTAACATTTTCTATTAATTTTATAAGAAGAGCAATGTAATTTTACATGTTACATACTATCTTGACTTTTCTATCTTTTGAAGGAAACAAAGGAAGTCAATTGATTTTTATTCATTTCCATATAGTAGGAAGTTTTATAGAGAACTGAAATTCTTGCATCATATATTCTCAAATGTATTTTCTAAGTGTCTGATGATTCAAGAAAGCAGAACAATATTTTTCCATTGTGGGGGGAGACTTTTTTTCTGGCTTACTATATAGCTACTTTATTAGAGTTAGGGATCAAAAAAGAAATGACAGTCTTGTCAACAGGAAACAAAATATTTTCAGAAGCTTTTCCAAGGATGAAAAAGTTATAATACTAACAAAAGGGTTATGTTCCAAATATATTTGAACTCAAATAATAGGAGTACCTAATTCTCAAAATATTAGATGACTGGTTTTATGAATATTGAGTCATGTTTATCCTTTGGAAATACTATTTTGTTATCTAAGTCAGAAAATACACATATTACACATACAAAGCAAAAATAATAAAAGTACAATAAGAAAACCGATGCAATAAACCTGACACTTAAAAAATGTTTCTATTGAAAAATACTTCAAAATTCAAACTGAAATACTGTGAATCAATTTCTTATATTTTCTTTATTGGTTAATTGACCTCTTTAATGTAGAAAATACAAAGGGGAAAGGCAAATACAAATATCTTTGCCTTTATGGAGCTGCTAGACTAATATATGACACATTAATCACATATAAATTAACAAAATAAATGCAAAAGTACAATATGTCCACAAATCTCTATAGAAGCACTACTAATGATAGCTGAAAACTATGTACAATTCAAATGACTATCAATGGTAGGATGGACACATAAATCATAGAATAATGTATAGTGATGAAGGGCTTCTGAGGTGGCTCAGTGGGCAAAGAATCCGCTTTAATGCAGGAAATGCAGGCAGCCACAGGTTCAATCTGGGGGTTGGGAAGATCCTCTGGAGGAGTGTATGGCAACCCATTGCAGTATTCTTGCCTGGAGAATCCCATGGACAGATGAGCCTGGTGGGCAACAGTCCATGAAGTCACAAAGATTGGACACGACTGAATGGACTGAACACACATAGTAATGAAAATAAAAGAGCAACACAGTCTCCTGCAGCAACACAATGCCCAAGGAAAGAAGGAAAACATATAAAAGAATAAAAACTGGATGATTTCATGTGGATAAGCATCAAACACATGCAGAACAAAAGCTACTGTTAAAAGTTAAGATAGTGATTATGTCTTGAGATGACTGATTAAGAAGCATTCAAAGGGTTTCTAAGTTACTGCCAATATTCTAATAATTGATCTGGGGAAGGATAAATCATTGTGCCATACACTTAAATTTTGTGTGGTTTTGTTAATGTCTATTATGATACACAATTAAAATAATTTTAAGTGCACATAACAAAAGAACATGTCCTTGTCTAGGAAATCTGAGAACACGGCAGTGAAGAAGTGAAATCTCAACTGAGAGTTGGTGGAATTATGCTAATTTTTCCATGCATGCTCAATTGTGTCTGACTCTGTGACTCCATGGGCTGTAGCCTGCCAGGCTCCTCTGTCCATGGAATTTTCCAGGCAAGAATAGGGAGTGGGTTGTCATTTCCTTCCTCCAGGGGTTCTTGCCCACCCATGTCTCCTGTGCCTTCTGCATTGACAGGCAAATTCTTTATCACTGAGCCACCTGGGAAGCCTGCCTATTTTTAGGTGACATTTATTTGAGCTGGCCCCATTATCTTCTATTATTATTATCTTCTATTAGTCTCTCAACCGGGGCTTGCCACACCTGTTCTCCTGCTGTTACTTAACAAGCCAAGCATGCTTCTGCCTTAGGTTTTGTATGATTATTTCTTCTGCATGGAGTACTCTTTCCCCAGATACTGGTATAGATAACTCTTACATCTCTTTCAATCTTTGCTCAAATACTTTCTCCTTAGAGAGACCTAACTTGATCATCCTATAGAGAATTGTATTTCATGCACCCAACTCTGCAACTTTTTGCCCTCATAGCTTTACCATTTTCTACATACAACATATTATTATAATATAATTATTTCTTATATTTATATTTAATGTCCAAACAGTAATGTCCAATGTCTGCATTAGTTTTGAGGCTCTAAAAAACAGAAAGGTTGGGAATTTCCTGGTGGTTGAATGATTAGGAATCCACACTTTCACTGCTGAAGGCCCAGGTTCAATTTCTGGTCAGGGAACTAAGATTCCATTGGCCACCTGATGCAGCCAAAAGAAAAAAGTAAAATAAAAATTCTGTCCTTTTTTTGTTCACCTGAAATTGTACTGATATATAATAATTACTGTGTGTGTATAAAATATATATTACAAATATAACAAATATTTCAATCAATTCTTCTAGGCTCTATCATGTGTTTTTCATGTATTCACTCACTGAAATCTCCCAAGAATTCCCTGAGGTATGGACTCTCCTATTCATTACAAAATTGAGATTTAGAGGTTAACATGTACAATATCACAGACCTAATAAGTGGTATAACCAATATTTGACTTCAATCATTTGGCTCCTGATTTAGGAGATTAGAACTTATTACACTATATCAAATTATAATTGAAAAAGTAAAAGGAGAAAGGGTAAAGTATTGAAAGCAGAGAAAAATATATAGTATATAGCATTAAGTTTATACTTAAATGTTCACGGAAAGGACCAGGACAAGCTTTAGAATATGCTAGTGAATAAAGCAAGTCACAGAAGATTACACACAATAAGATATCATTTTAAAGAAATATTTTAAGAAGGTGAAGTAATGAACATCTTTTGGAGAGGTGAAGAAATGTTTAGAATAAGTCATGAAAATTATGAACAAAGGTTAGGAGACTGTCTCTCGTAGGGAGATACAGGGATTGCTTAGGGAGAAGTTTCAAGAAGGGAAAAACATATGGCAAATACTCTATTTCCTAAGTTTGATGGTGAGTTCACAGGTGTTGATTTTATTACTACACTTCACAATTTAATCTATGGCGCATATATTTTTTGTTTAAAATACTGTATAACAAAAGCAAATACATCTACAAATTTAACAAAACAAATGAAAATAGATGACAGAACAATTAATGAAAGGTCAAGGTGGAAAGAACAATACTTCAGTTCAAAGTTTTTATTTTTTTAATTAATTTTTTTCATTTATTTTTACTAGTTGGAGGCTAATTGCTTTACAATATTGTAGTGGTTTTTGCCCTACATTGACATGAATCAGCCATGGATTTACATGTGTTCCGCATCCCGATCCCCCCTCCCGCCTCCCGCCCCATCCCATCCCTCTGGGTCTTCCCAGTGCACCAGCCCTGAGCACTTGTCTCATGCATCCAGCCTGGGCTGGTGATCTGTTTCACCCTTAATAGTATACTTGTTTCAATGTTATTCTCTCAGAACATTCCACCCTCACCTTCTCCCACAGAGTCTAAAAGTCTGTTGTGTACATCTGTGTCTCTTTTTCTGTTTTGCATATAGGGTTATCGTTACCATCTTTTAAAATTCCATATATATGCGTTAGTATACTGTATTGGTGTTTATCTTTCTGGCTTACTTCACTCTGTATAATGGGCTCCAGTTTCATCCACCTCATTAGAACTGATTCAAATGAATTCTTTTTAATGGCTGAGTAATATTCCATGGTGTATATGTACCACAGCTTCCTTATCCATTCGTCTGCTGATGGGCATCTAGGTTGCTTGCATGTCCTGGCTATTATAAACAGTGCTGCAATGAACATTGGGGTGCAGGTGTCTCTTTCAGATCTGGTTTCCTCGGTGTGTATGCCCAGGAGTGGGATTGCTGGGTCATATGGCAGTTCTATTTCCAGTTTTTTAAGGAATCTCCACACTGTTCTCCATAGTGGCTGTACTAGTTTGCATTCCCACCAACAGTGTTAAGAGGGTTCCCTTTTCTCCACACCCTCTCCAGCATTTATTGCTTGTAGACTTTTGGATAGCAGTCTGGCATGTAATGGTACCTCATTGTGGTTTTGATTTGCATTTCTCTGATAATGAGTGATGTTGAACATCTTTTCATGTGTTTGTTAGCCATCTGTATGTCTTCTTTGGAGAAATGTCTGTTTAGTTCTTTGGCCCATTTTTTGATTGGGTCTTTTATTTTTCTGGAATTGAGCTGGAGGAGTTGCTTGTATATTTTTGAGATTAATCCTTTGTCTGTTGCTTCGTTTGCTATTATTTTCTCCCAATCTGAGGGCTGTCTTTTCACCTTGCTTATAGTTGCCTTTGTTGTGCAAAAGCTTTTAAGTTTCATTAGGTCCCATTTGTTTATTTTTGCTTTTATTTCCAATATTCTGGGAGGTGGGTCATAGAGGATCCTGCTGCGATTTATGTCAGAGAGTGTATTGCCTATGTTCTCCTCTAGGAGTTTTATAGTTTCTGGTCTTACATTTAGATCTGTAATCCATTTTGAGTTTATTTTTGTGTATGGTGTTAGAAAGCAGAGTTTTTATAAACCAACCTTTTATAAGTGATTACCACTGGGAGATCAATAAATTGAGAGGATTTTTACTTTTTTGTCTTGAAAATCACATCCCTCCATTACCTACACAGTAGCACATGATTTTATTACATGTGGGTGATTTCCTATCACCCCCTTTTCTAAATTATATCCTTAACTTTCTAAATAGTCAAAATAAAATCAAAACTCCAGGTCTCTTACAAATACCTAAGGATCCATCTCCCAGCTTTCTTCAACTTCATCTCCCATTCACACACCACTTGAACCAATGACATTCTTCCTACTCCCAAAGTTTCAAGTTCTTACCTACCTATATGGCTTTATATTTGATGCACTCACCTGAAATTCTCTTTCCCTGAACATCCTTCCTGTCATTTCTCCAAACAGTCTTTCCCTAGCACTTAATCCAAGTAACCACCTGGACTTTATGCATCATATGGCCATATTTGGTTCTGCACCAACTTTTATAATCTGGTATTTTCTGTTGGCTTATTTGATTGTTAATAAATTTTCTGCCTTTTACAGTTAGTATGAAAGCCCCAGATCTTGGAGGAAGTTGTCTTTTAACCATTTTATCACTAGAGCTTATAAGATTGCTTGGCATTTTATAACATAAATCCAAATTTTCTTAACAAAAAATAATGATTGTTATTTTAGAAGTCCTCTGATGTGGAAAAAGACACCTATACTCTCAAAATTTTACCTCAATATAAGTGAGTGTTTTAGATGTAGGTCATGAAATTTCAAAGTTAATGTAAAATATTTATTATTTCTATATAAACAGACTATATTTAAGTAATATTACTTTATGTAGTGTTAGACTGTCAAAGTTAAACAGAATCTGTATTACATTAAGCACTAGAAAACAACATGAGGTTTTTCTTCCCAATATTATAATTGTGATGTTATAACTATAAAAGTAAAAAAAAAAAAGACACAGCTTTAAAATGTATACCTGAAATTATAGTCTGCAATAATACCCCTAGTAAGTGATATGAATTCCAACTTTTTGAGCATATGCAATTTGTCATGTTTTGTATATATTAGCTTAATCTTCCTAATGATGTAAGAAATCAGAAACCACTTTATTTATGAAAAAACTGAGGGCTAGTGAGATTTAATGACTTGTTTTGTGTTACAGCTGGTAGGAATATGGCAAGGCTAGAATTAAAACAAGTTCTACCCACTCACAAAGTTTATGATTGTTCTTTTAAGCTGCAGTATTTTATCTTGTGGGTTAGAAGTAATGCTAAACATTGCACAACTCTGTTCTAACATAATGCATGAAACTCCAAAATATTATGATTTCACTGAAGACATCTGCCAATAACACGGTTGTGGGATAATGGTAGATGAGCTCAGTTTTATGAAAGGAATGCAGAAACAAATCAAGTTAAATGACATTCTGTAGAATCTCAGAAATTTCAATTTAAAATTGTTGAAAAGACTATTACAAAAAAAGAGAGGTAAGAATTTATCAGGTTGAAAATGAAAGAATGGATCACAAGAAGGTCATACAGATAGTATCCACGTGTGCCTCCACTCTTAACAAGAAACTCAGATTCTGAATGACAATTTACTAGTCCTAACTCAGAAATTTCAGTCCATCTAATTTGGTACATTTGATTCCTTAATTTACAACTTTGCAACCATACTAAGGCATAGAAATAATAAAACAAATTCAAATTTTAAATAACTGCCTATTGTCTGTGGGAATAAGTTCCATGATTATTATGATAATTTGTGGTTGCTAAGTGTCAAGATAACTTGTCAAAATAAAAATAAACATTCTAAAACTAACATATAACTGATAGGTTTGACAGTTCATGTTAGTTCTAAAATGTTTAGTTGGAACTATTAGATTGATAATAGATATGTGGTTCTATTTATAAAATAAAACATAACTCCTTTAGTGTGATGATAATATTTCTGAGAATATTATTTATTGTCTTTGGTTTATAAGAGTTTTTCAAGTGCTAGTTCAGTGTGTATAACTGTCCAGCCTGACAATGAATGTGTTTTAGAGAATCAGATATATTAGCTTGGCAAGTGATATTATAATTAAAGGTTACAAGGATACTTAATTTTCTAAGCCTATGAATGGAACTGTTTAGGGAAAGTGAACCTCTTATTTATAAGCCAATTGGAATTAGTCAAAGAACAAATTATCTTTTCATTTTATATATATATATATATACACATAATTACCAAATTAAAATAAATAAATTTAGCAGGTTGAATTAATAGAGTTAAAATATGTTCTTGATTTATAAATTTATTTTGGAATTTCAATTCAAGTCTTCTTCAGAAAATTTCGATTAACAACACTACAAAAATGATTATTTTTCCCGCTGAACCATATATTCTTAGAAATATTAGTTTGGTAATTGGAACTCAAACTCCCTCATGCATGACCCACATATGTCTTTTATTCGGCGCATTTTAGCATCCTAGAGTTGCTGAAATTTCTACATAATAACCTTTGGACTGACATTGTGTGGAAAATGGAAGACAAATTACTTAAAAGCTCAGAATTTCCTTTGAGAGGGATGAAACAGTCATTATTAATATATCTAGTGCTGATGTTGAAGCTGGAACTCCAATACTTTGGCCACCTGATGCAAAGAGCTGACTCATTTGAAAAGACCCTGATGCTGGGAAAGATTGAGGCAGGAGAAGAAGGGGACAACAGAGGATGAGATGGTTGATGGCATCACCGACTCAATGGACATGGGTTTGGGTAAACTCCGGGAGTTGGTGATGGACAGGGAGGCCTGACATGCTGCAGTTCATGGGGTCACAAAGAATCAGACACGACTGAGAGACTGAACTGAATTGAACTGAAGTGCTGGACTCATGGGAGTAAGCACTTTGATCAGTTAAACCAATGATGCTATTTTGGTATTCTTCACTCCCTGAATTGTCCTTTGACCTACTAGCATACAACATGAAATGAGTTATAATTTTCTATGGCAGAAAGTGAAGAAGAACTAAAGAACCTATTGATGAAAGTGAAAGAGGAGAGTGAAAAAGTTGGCTTAAAGCTCAACATTCAGAAAACTAAGATCATGGCATCTGGTCCCATCACTTCATGGCAGATAGATGGGGAAACAGTGGAAACAGTGGCTAAATTTATTTTTCTGGGCTCAAAAATCACTGCAGATGGGGATTGCAGCAATGAAATGAAAAGACACTTACTCCTTGGGAGGAAAGTTATGACCAACCTAGACAGCATATTGAATAACAGAGACATTACTTTGCCAACAAAGGTCCATCTAGTCAAGGCTATGGTTTTTTCAGTGGTCATGTATGGATGTGAGAGTTGGACTACAAAGAAAGCTGAGCACTGAGAAATTGATGCTTTTGAACTGTGGTGTTGGAGAAGACTCTTGAGTCCCTTGGACTGCAAGGAAATCTAACCAGTCCATCCTAAAGGAGATCAGTCCTGGGTGTTCATTGGAAGGACTGATGTTGAAGCTGAAACTCCAGTATTTGGCCACCTGATGTGAAGAGCTGACTCACAGGAAAAGACCCTGATGCTGGGAAAGATTGAGGGCAGGAGGAGAAGGGGACAACAGAGGATGAGATGGTTGATGGCATCATCGACACAATGGACACGAGTTTGAGTAAACTTCGGGAGTTGGTGATGAACAGGGAGGCCTGGCTTGGTGCAGTTCATGGGGTCGCAAAGAGTCGGACACAACCGAGTGACTGAACTGAACTGAACTGATTAAACCTACTGTTTAACAAGTAAATATTTTCAGTATACAATAAAGAATTATTAGACTAGTTAAAAGAAGTAATTAATTCAAGAACATTTATGTAAAATATTACTTTCTTAGAATTTTAGGTGAAATGCCAAATTCCTTTCCTCACCTTCATTTTTCATGCAACTAGGAACAATCAAATCATGAATTACTATACAAATTTAGACTCTAAACTTCAAATCTTTTTGCACTTTGGTTTCTTAAATTTCCGTCATAACCATTCTCATTTGAGACACATTAAAACAAAACAACAAAAATGTGTTGTGTTAAATGCTTGGGATAGAAAATAAATCTCATCAAGAAAGGACAGCAACACATAACAGAATACAGATAAGAGCTATTTCATTTTAACTAACAAATATTGTTTACCTGTGAGCCTGTGGAGTAGCGCCCAGGAGTTCGAGAACCAGATGTTTTCCCTGAGCCGATGGAGCTCTCTGTACTTTTTCCACTACAGCAATGCGTTCGCAGGCATTTCCCGTACTCTTTTCGTACCTAGTCAAAAACATTAACTTCTATTAGCAGGGAATTCATTTCAGCCAGAAATAGAAAATGCATGTGAGTTTTATTTTCAGATAGTTAAAAAACTTTTGCCCTACAGATATAAATAAGAAAGTCTGTTCAGAATACATTTTGTATGTTTTTTTTACAATATAAAATAATATCCATACTGTCAAGATTGAAATTTGTATGACTGGACTTTTTAAAACACATAAACACACATATACCCAATCACACCATAAGGATATAATCTCTTAGTTGAAAAAACAAAAACTTAAGCCTCTTCTATACTATTTTTAGCTTCACAGATCTGCTACAATGTATTCCTATTGGTGCAATTATTATTTAGGCAGAGGTCTAGCCAGGAAGTTAGAAAAGGAAATGGAAACCAGTGAGAGAGAAAGAGGAGACAGAATATTTAAAGACAGAGCAGAAAAAAAGAATGTGTTGGGCTAAGCATTTTTAAATAATTTATATTTCTTTGAAATTTATTTCTCTTAAAAGAGGTAAATTGTCAATTTGAGAACATAAAATTAAAAATATTTAAAATTTATTCCCTCAAAATGGTGGTGGTTTCGTCACTAACTCATCTCCAACTCTTATAACCCCATGGACTATAGCCTGCCAGTCTCCTCTGCCAATGGAATTTTCCAGGCAAGAATACTGGAATGGGTTGCCATTTCCTTCTCCAGTGAATCTTCCCAAACCAAGAATTGAACCTGGGTCTCCTGCATTGCAGACAGAGTCTTTACCAACTGAACTATGAGGGAAGACCTCCATCAAAATTCAATAATTACAGAGAAGTATGAGTTTTTCCAATGTAAGGCTGCAATTAACTAATTAATCCTTGTTGTAGTATAAAAATCACAATATAAAAAGGAGATATACATTTTTTAGCTGATACTTCCAAACAAGAAAATATATCAACAATTCTAGGGGAAATCAATTTAATCAAATAAGACTTACAAAGATAAACAGAAATTGTTCAAAATCATATCTCCACTAGTGACATCAAGAAAAATAAATGCCAATTACTTGTTTATCAATTAAAACACATTATAGGATAACTTACTGGTTTTACATTCACAAATTTTACATTCATTATGAAATAATATTGTATATATATTATCTTTAGCATTTCATTGATTTCACATGAGTCCATAGTTTTCAGAATTTGTGATAATGTAATGTTATTTAAAACAAACATAAAAACATGCTTTCCTGAGAAATGTTACTTAGAATCAAGAAAAAGTAACGAGTGTGGATGATACATTAAAGTTAGTGTTTGAAATTAAACATTATCTCAATATGTTACAGTTCACTCTATCTATAATACGGCAAAATCAGAGACTGACTATATTCAGATTTGTTTGAAGAATTCACATTCACTAAATTATGTGATAGGAACAATGATACAAAGTCATGTGAATCGAAGCATGGAAAAGAAGTGCCTGATAGAAGTAGAGAGGGACCAAGAAAGGCTTCCCAGAGAAGAATACTTCTGAGATAATCTTCATATGTATACCTATGGCTGATTCATAGGTTTGAAAGAAATCAACAAAATTCTGTAAAGCAATTATTCAATTAAAAAATAAATAAATTAAATATATACATATATATATGTTGGAATTTGTTGGTTTAGTGAATTTAGTTGAAAGATAGGATAGATAAGAGAAAAAAGGTGCTCAGTGTGAGCAGAACAAAGAGGCATGATGTGCTAATCTTTGAAGCCTTTCATTGGTTATGCCAAAATTACATATTTTAATATATTTAAATTATATTGTTTCCAACTAAGTTTTTATGCCATTTATCATTAATTAGAAATCATCATTTTTATTCACTATTTACAAGCCAATCCATATTTTGTTTTTTAAAATAAGTCTGTGACCACTTCTGTGTGTGTGTGTGTGTGTGTGTGTGTGTGTGTGTGTGTGTGTGTGTGTGTTGAAAATATGTGTGAGGGTGAGATGGGAGGGTGAGATGAAGAAGCTTCTCCATCTTAAACATTCTTTGCTGGGAACTATGCTAGGTTCCTCCCTCAAAATGAATCTGGGAAATAATTATTACTGACATTTTACAAATAAGAACACTAAAAAGATTAAGCAATGAAAGTAAGCTGAAAGACTGAAAAGGTCAAGTGATATGCATTATGTGAAAATATCCAAATCTCATGGGTGCTCTATGATCAGAAAGCTCTCACTAAGATGCCACACTTCTAATATTGATATAACCAACATAAGGCATAATATATTATTAAAGTAATCTATTAAATTATCTCATTCTTTGTTTCTTGAGAAAATGAGGACAAATATCTAATTAGAATTTGAGGAAACTTAAAATAATCTCCATCCATAGGGAAGCATTATCAATTACAGTTTAGTAATTTGTATTCTATTTGTGAAATATCTCCTAGAACCTAAATTTTCACTATAACCTATATCCTATTTTGTTTTTCCTAATGAACTCAACAAGTAATGCTTTTCTCCTTAGAAGAGGAAGTGATTTTTGGTGAAGTGATTTAAATCTAAACAAATATTTTGGGGAGAGAGGGGCTATTAGAGAAAGAAGAAGAAAGGGAACCACTTCCATTTCTGTTACTTACAATGGGAGCAATATTATATAAGCAGGAATTCACCATGGAAATTTACAAAAAAGGTTAAATGTTCTGAACTGATTATATAAATAATCAGTAAATAAAGATATCTAGTGATACCTAGTACCACATTTAGCTATATTACTTACTGAATCATTACAGACCTTATTTTTCTATTATTAGATTTGAAGTGGTGAGTATGTGTGTTAAAAAGAAAAAAGCAAAAATAACATGCACCATCTCCATGAGAGGTATCTCTCCAGATTATAAAATAACTTATTTGACAATTTAGTCATTTGCATATTCTAATCCACTATTTCACATGATACAACATCTTATCCCAACCAGATATGGCATGTGACTATTCAACATGAGGTTGTTCTAGAATATATAAACATGGAAAAGAAAATATACCAGCCCAAGGAATATTTCTTTTATACTCTATGATCAGAAATAAAATAATTATGAAACTTTCTGGGAAGTTTCACATAATTGAGTTAACAACAAAGAAAATGTGACAACCTTAATGACAAAGTAGAGATGCTGGTGAAACAATCATATAACCTACACTCTAGAAAATGACTGACAATTCAAAGTTTGATTTTTTTTCATTAATGAGTTGAATCAATCAACAAATAATCCTATAAAATAAATGATATCAAAAATGGAATATTTCACATTTCTCTATTCAAATATGAGTACTACATAACATGAGCATATTACTGAAATCAGTCAGATGGCTTAAGAAAAACCTCCTACAAGAAATAAGACTGTTAAAATGTCCATAAGAACCAAAGCTGTCCATAGGTTCAATGCAGTTTATATAAAAGTTCCAATATTTTTCACAGATACAGAAAAAGATATCCTTAAATGTGTACAGAACCACCAAAGACTCCAAACAGCCAAAGAAATCCTGAGAAAAAAGAACAAAGACGGAGGCATCACATTGCAGATTGCACACCATACCATAAAACTATAGAAATCACGACAGTATGGTATTGGAAAAGTAGATCAATAGACAAAGGATCAGATTCTGAAGTGAAAGTCGCTCAGTCATGTCTGACTCCATGTGACCCCATGGACTATACAGTCCATGGATTCTCTAGGCCAGAATACTGGAGTGGGTAGCCTTTCCCTTTTCCAGATATCTTCCCAACACAGGGGACAAGCCCAGGTCTCCCGCATTGCAGGTAAATTCTTTACAAGCTGAGCCACAATACAAGCCCAATGGAACAGATTGTGAGCCCATAAATAAACCGTTGTCTATACCTGGTCATAGTAAAAACATCCACTTCCAACACACAAGAGATGACTCTACACATGGACATCACCAGATGGTCACTACCAAAATCAAATTGATTATATTATTTGCAGCCAAAGATAGAGAGGCTCTATACAGTCAGCAAAAACAAGACCGGGAGCTGACTGTGGCTCAGATCATGAACTCCTTATTGACAAATTCAGACTTAAATTGAAGAAAGTAGGGAAACTAGACCATTCAGGCTGGAACTAAATCGAATCCCTTATGAATATAAAGTGGAAGTAAGAAATAGATTCAAGGGATTAGATCTGATAGACAGAGAGCCTGAAGAACTACGGATAGAGGTTCATGACATTGTACAGGAGGCAGTTATCAAGACCATCCCCAAGAAAAAGAAATGCAGAAAGCTAAAAAGGTTATCTGAGGAGGCTTCACAGATAGCTGAGAAAAGGAGAAGTGAAAGGCAAAGGAGAAAAGGAAAGATATATCCATTTGAATCCAGAGTTCCAAAGAATAGCAAGGAGAGATAAGAAAGACTTCCTCAGCGATCAATGCAAAGTAATAGAGGAAAACAATAGAATGGGAAAGACTAGCGATCTCTTCAAGAAAATTAGAGATGCCAAGGGAATATTTCATGTGAAGATGGCCAAAATAAAGGACAGAAATGGTATATACCTAACAGATGTATTAAGAAGAGGTGGCAAGAATACACAGAAGAATTATATAAAAAAGATCTTCATAACCCAGGTAACCACAATGGTGTGATCACTCACCTAGAGCCAGACATCCTGGAATGTGAAGTCACATGGGCCTTAGGAAGCATCACTACGGACAAAGCTAGTGGAAGTGATGGAATTCCAGTTGAGCTATTTCAAATCCTAAAAGATGATGCTGTGAAAGTGCTGCACTCAATATGCCAGCAAATTTGGAAAACTCAGCAGTGGCCACAGGACTGGAAAAGGTCAGTTGTGATTCCAATCCCAAAGAAAGGCAATGGTAAAGAATGTTCAAACTATGGCACAATTGCACTCATCTCCCACGCTAGCAAAGTAATGCTCAAAATTCTCCCAGTGAGGCTTCAGCAGTGTGTAAACCATGAACTTCCAGATCTTCAAGCTAGATTTAGAAAAGGCAGAGGAA